GGCATGTTCTTACCCAGGGTGCTCATCTCCTGGTACATGCTGCAGAACTCGGTCCTGATCGTACTCTTGAGCTGAGCAGGCTAGTGCATGTGAAGCATGGGGAACGCTTGCATTCACCCCCCTTTAGGGAAAAACTTTTGTACCCTGGAAATGGAAGGCATTGCGCAGGTGCTCAGACTGGGCTGGATGAGCTGCTGAGCTGTGTGATCGTGTGGGGAAGCTTGTTGGTTAAATGTGATGCATCAGTTCTGTGTTACGAGTTTCTGGGAGCTTGTTCGCGTGCGTGCAGTGTATGGCATGGGGTCTGCGTGGGAGAACCTGCCTCTCACAGGAGCGGGGAGAAGGCTGGCTGTGGTCAGAGAAGGGGTGAGTGTTGAGGCAGATCCTTTGGTAATAGCATTCAGCTGTCTCTGGTAAGAAGCATTAGGGACACAATTCATTTTCCAGGACCATAGACAATTATGGAGTGAAGACAGGAGGGATGCCAAGGAGCAAGAAATACTGCCTGCGAGAGATGCCATCAGCATCCTGATCTGCCGGGGTCCTGGGAAGCCGAGCCCTTTGGCTAGAGTGTTCTGGGAGCGGGAGCCGCAGAGTCTCAAAGACGCGCTCATTGCCCTTCCGTTGCAGAAAGCTGACAAACATTGTGCATCAGCCAGAGACCTTTCTCTGTGCAAAGATGTGCCTGAAATACCCAGCAAGGATTTTTGGATTGGGTTCTTTCCATCTGCTGCTGCTACCATTTTTTCTTTCACTGCCTAATTCCTCCCCCCTGCCTGGTGGAGGCTTTCTTTTTCACTCCTGGCACCTCGGGCATATTCTCCTGTCCTCTTTGGACACATTGTCTCTCCTACCCCAGCCTCGAATCCCCCTCTCTGCTCTGAATGCTGAATCCCTCTTTCTCTGATATTTGCACTGGGAGGATTCCTCACCAGATCCCAGCTGGCTGGATGTTACGCAGAACAAAGGCCAAAGAGCTTGACCTGATTTACCTAATTGGGTTGTAGCACCAATTTGGATGTTGAGGGAGTGATTTCCCTTGGCAGCATAAACCAGATCCTCTCTGTGTCCAGGCCTAGTTGCTGCTCTAGAAGGACAGTGCCAGTACGTGTCTCTTTCTGCCTGGAAATCCCAAACACTGTTTTCAGAAAGCCCTTTCATTTTATTTATTTTCCCATCCTGGCACAGACAGTGTCTGCGGATGGCGGACCAGCAAGGAGCTGTGTGCTGCTTGCCTATTACCTCAGGTTTAAAGTGTCTCTTCCTATCAAATGCAAAGCAGAAGAAAGCAGAGCTTTCATGCATTCTTTTTTTTTTTTTTTCCCTCTTCCATCCGTTCTAAATTTATTTCCATGCCTTGCCGGTTTCAATCTGCATTTCCTGACCCTCTCACATCTCCCGTCACAGCCTGTGCTCTGAGCTCAGAGTCAGAGGAGCGCTGCTCTGGGCTTGGGAGGATAGGATGGGGTTAAAGTGAAAGGCTTGGTTTTAACAGTATAATGTGTAACCCCATAATGACTTTAAATATTGATTATTTGAAGGCCATTAGTGCTTATTGTTAAAGAAAAGTCGATACTTTTTAAGCCTTGTGAACCATTTGTCTCCTGTTAAAGGACATATCAAATTTAGCAGCATGCGGTGCAAATCCCCTAATACCCTGCTCACAGGCCTCCAGCTGGCACACTGGGCGGGGGGGAAAGGGGTTGGGGGGGGGAATATGCAGTAACACAGAATTGCTCTCTGCAAGGTAAGAACAAGGCTTATCAGATGGAATTGCCAAGGGCTAAATTCAGGTTCTCAGAGTATGGGACTGTAATTTAGCCCTTAGTCTGAGAGGTGGAAGAAGAGGAGAAGGGAAATTAATGGGGGGGGAGGTTGCAGGCTGATACATACCTGAGAAAGAATGCAAGGATTTGTGTTTTGGTGCACATCTGTCTAAAAGCACAGTAGCCTTTGTTAATGTCTCTGGGGCTTTTCACTCGGATCCAAGCTTGCTGGGAAGGAATGGGCTGTATCTGCAGCAGACAGCCTGGGAGGGCACCCCAGCTCTGTGCCAGGATGCGACCTGGTCGTGCTCCTTCCCTCCCGTGCCAGGTTTCCATGCCAAGGATCAGGCAGATGGGCTGGAAGGGAGCAATGACAGGCTCCAACAGGTTCCCTGCCCAGACGGCCAGGAGGCTGGGCTTGTGGGACAGCAGAAAGCGTCTGTCTTTCGTGGTAACGCAGCAGTGTGAATCGCTGTTCCTCGGGGCTCTGCAACGTGAGCTCGGGAGTATGGGTCTGCCTGCAAGGAGAAGAGGCCTCACCCAGCAGCTTTGCCCTATTCACGTGTTGGGTGGAGAGCTCCAGTGTTGCTGAGAGAACAACTCTGGGGTCTCCACGTGGTCTGCAGTGTCAGGCAGGCGTGATGACAGCACGTGTAAATGTGTCTCCCTGAATTTTCTAAACCTTCGGACTCATCCCCAGCATGTGTTGCGTGTGTAACATAAGCAGCAACTGACCTCTCACGTTCGAAGTCGCTCCCGATACAGCTGCTCCCAGCCCTTCCCGGGCCACCGCAGGCTGCTGTGCTCAGCCCTGTGCCTGGCAGCGTGATCAGGTCCCGCAGCAGTTGCTTTGTCCTGCCACCCCCCTTCCCCAGCCGGGGCACCGCTCACCAGCCAGCCCAAAGTACCAGTCGATCCCTGTCCCCAAAAGCCGGGGAAGCTGCACAGCCCTGGTGAGAGAACAGAGGGAATGAACAGCAGGGTCTGCAGCAGATGTGAATTCCTTAGGGATCAAAGTTAGGTGCTGTAGTGCGATGTTAAAGCATAAAAATAGCCTCTGATTGACATCGGGCTGCCACTGAAGGCAGAACCTTTTATTTTCCAGTTCCAAATCCTGGTCCCCGTCAAACAGTAAGCTTCCTGGGCACAGATTGTCTCTTCTTGGCTAAGATCAAGAAGCTCTCTTTGTTTTTAGCATTTCCTTCTGAGCTCTCTGTGTGCAGCCTGCACCTGGGGCTTCTGCGCATTGTTCCCCATCGTACAGGATCCCCCTTTTCTGCATTTACAAAAGGCAGGGAGGTCACGGCCACCGCTCGCCTGGCCATGGAATGGTTAAAAGCGACTTGATTTCCTAAATTGCTTCTTATAAAACGAACAGCACGTCTGCCAGGCTCGTCTCCCCATGATTACAGCTAATTACGATCGAACGGACACCTCCTAGCCCCTGTCATGCCGCTTTAATTGTCCGTTATTCATCTGCAGGCTGTCCGGGGTGGCAAAGCACTTGGCAGCCCAGCGACCGAGGCCTCGGCTAATTGTGAGGCCTCGGGGATTAGGGCAGGTGATTACACACTTCATGGTGTAATTACATAAGCATCGCTTGGCTGCTGCCCCGGCTCGGAGCCGAAGGTCACGCGCTGCGTTACCTGAGACCTGCCACTGAAGTGCGAGGTGCTGGCGGAGCGGTTATACGATTAGCATTAACATTTCAACAGCGACGGATCGATCTGTGGCTCTCCTCCAGACACAGCGAGCTGTGCAATTAGTTTAGAGGAGAGCTAGGGGAGGAAGGAGAAGGAAAGGAGAGATGGAGACAGGCAGGGGAAGGGGAGAAGGGGAGTAGAGACAGACGGGCAGGGGGGAGGCAGAGACGGGCAAAGGGCAGGGAGAAGGAGGAATTGTGGAGGGGGATCTCAGCCTGTTCTGCGCTGTGGTTCAGTGTGTGGCAGTGTTTTGGAGTGGCTGTTGCACAGAATGAGGATAAAACTATGCCGGGAAAGGAATCTTTTCCTTGCCCACCTCATCATCAGAGAGTCCTCATCTGGCTTTTCATGTGCCGCGGCGGTGATCCATCCCCAGCTGTGTGGGATGGGGCACGGCTGGCTGGGATTCTGACGTTATCCCACACTCCCATGTCATGCCCCCACTGAAAGGGGGACCATGGTTGTGTATATGGTCTGTTTGTGGCAGAGTCACATGCACCTTCTTGCTCCCTTTCTCTTGCCCTCCAGTCTCTCCTGAAGCAGATTTTATAGGGAGATATTGTAAAATGAAAATAAACGGCACAGCACTCGGCTGTGCCTCTAGATGCCCTGGTGAAGGTAATAATGTTGTAAGTGGCCATCAAAAGGAATTAAGAGACGTGCAGCCGGAAAGCAGAGATTTGCTTGCAGGCTCCCAGTGCAGATTTGACTAATGGTAGAGACCTTGGCTCTTATTCCCTTCCTGCTTCTTTTTTCTTTCTTTTTTTTTTCCCGCCCCCACCGCCCCCCTCACCCCCACAAGCAAGCAAGTGCTACCTGCCTTGCTTCCAGGCATTGTCCTCTTCCCCCACCCCTCCAACCTGCTTCTTCCAGCTTACCTGCCACCTTACATCCGCTCAAACCTCACCCACCCCTTCTCCAGCATCACCCACCCCTTCTCCAGCAGTACTCCTTCCCACTGAGCGCATGGCACATCCTGCTCACACCCCTCTCCCCATCTCTCCTGTCTGTGTCTCCCTGACAGCTTTTCTCTCCAGAGTTGAAGATCACCCCTTGTGATGTCCCAGCTAGGACAGTGATTGTTTGCAAGGCCAGGGATGACTTCAGATCTTCCCCAGCTCCCAAAATATCGAATATCTTTTCAGTTGGAAGGTGGTTGAGATAGAAGCCTAAGCTTGCTTACGGGGACAGGCAGATGCAGCATCGTCAGCCTTGCCTTTGCTAGCCCTGGGCAGCCAAAACCTCTTTGAACAGCACAGCTGGAAGGCCACAGAAGCAAAGATACCAAGGTGGGAACTGTGTGGGACCTATGGAGTCCTGGCTACTTTCTTCCCCTTCTGGTTCTGCTTTTCTGTTTTCTTTTAAAAGTTTTGCGTACAGATGAACAGGCGTCTTTTTATCTGGGCTCAGCCTCTGGTACAGAACGCAGGTGAGCTGCAGAAAGGATGTTCACCCTGAGCCAGAGCACTCTGGGTACTGTCGATGGATTTTTCCAGCTTTTCACTATGAATTTGTTTTCTGGTTTCTGCAGGGAGATATCCCACCCGCCGCCTCTGCTGTCACCCCAGAATGCACCCCATATTGCCCTGGGGCCCCACTTGAGACCTCCTTTCCTTGGGGTGCCTTCAGCTCTGTGCCAGACACCAGGTGAGTGCATGTGAAATGCTTGCAGCAGGCCAGGGAAAGTGGGTAGAGCGAAGGCTGTAACAAACTGTCCTTCAGCCAAACAGCCCAGACACATTTTCTGTCTCCCCGTTACTGTTGTGCTGACTTCACCCTTGTTCTGCAGTGATAGGAGCAGGTTGCTTTGGCTGCTCTTTCTTTTAATCCCCACCAGCCTCCCTGGTGCCATGCCTCAGCAGCAGGCTGCACTGCCCTGGGAGTGAGAATAGATGGGCTTTAGAACAGAAAGGCAGCTCTCAGTTGCCCTTTCCTGCTCATTTAGCCCCCTGGGGAGCTGGCCCTGAGTTGGCAAAGAGTCGATGCAGAGATGAATAACCCCGTGTTCTTGTTCGCCCTGTCCCCAGGTTACGGGTTCCTCCAGCCGGCACAAGCAGAGATGTTTGCACGGCAGCAAGAGATGCTGCGAAAGCAAAACCTGGCAAGGTAAAGAGTGTAGAGGGCTGTAGCCTGCCTGGGCTCGGGTTGGATTTTTCCTTCCCTTTCCCAGCAGCAGGCAGGGTAATGTGGGGTGCTGTGTTGGATCAGCTGGGCACAGGTGACAGAGTGATGTCCAAGTGACACCAATGGAAACACTGTGCGGGTGTGGAGGTGACACCGTGTCCTGCAGGCTCTGGTTCAGCATGGCTGGAGGTTAGCAAGCTACTCGCAGAGCCTCCCCTGCTCCCCCCCACATTCCCTCTCTGCCTCTCCCAATTCAGGTTGGAGATGTCAGCCGAGATCATCCGCCAGAAGGAGCTGGAGAATCTCCACAGGCAAAGGCTCCTGGCCGGTGACCCGCTGAGCCTGCATCCCGGCTTGCCCCCGGACCACCCAGCCCTGCGCAACGTGCACGACATCCCCGAGGGCCACCCGCTGCGGGAGGAGCTCTCCCGGAGGAACGCCATGCTGGTGCTGCGGCACAACAACACTCCCCTGCTCTCCCTCAACCCCAGCGTCCCCAGCAGTGCCACGCCGCCCAAGGAGCAGCCCCGGCGGGGCAGCCGGAAATCGGCACACCACCGCACAGAGCCGCAGGGGCTGAGCGAGGCGAAGGAGCTGCTGGAGCCCCGGGCGCGGGACGGGGCACCAGACTGTAACGATGAGGAGATGAAGGACTCTGAGAGTGATGCGGATGTGAGCGACGAGAAGCCGGAGAGTCTGAAGGCTGAGAGCAGCAGCTCGGCAGCTGAGCTTAAGGAGTGCAAAGAGACGGGCAAAGTCTGTGAAGGGGCCAAGGAGCTGGGTGAAGCGGCTGCTGGCCAGAATGCCCCCTGCAGCTCCTCGAGTGCAGAGTCCCCCAGCCACTTGCTTGGCCCAGGCATCAACAAAAACGAGGTGAAATATCTCCCGCCAGCCTCCATCCCACCACCTCAGCCGTTGCCCTTCGGATTTCCTTACACCATGAGCCCGTACTTCCATGCAGGTGAGTGTGTCAGCCTGTCGCTGAGCTACTGGCTGGAGCAACGATGTGTTTGGCAGTGTGCTAAAAATGGGATTCTTCCCCCTTCCTCTTCTGCAGTGTGGTTGTAGTTCTTTTTTCTCTGCAGGGAACCGAGCATCTTTGTTTAATAAAGGATTCCTTTTGCAGTGAAGCAAATCAAGGGTCATAGAGAGGGCCAGCAGGGACAAAGTGAGTCCCAGGCTCATGAGAAGGGAGATCCCGATATGATGGACTAAGGGATCGTGCAGTTGCTTGGTCCTTTGGAAGCCGTGTTTCAGAACAGATGCCAGGAAACTTTAGTGGGCTTACAGTGTCAGAGTTCCCACTGCTGTGTGCCCTTTCCGGGCAGAGGTAGGCGGGCTCTTTCCCAGCCTGTGGTGTATTTCTCAGTCTCGCAGGCACTGGTGTAGCGGGATCGTGGCCTGCTGGATGGGCGGAGCCAGCAGGGAAGTAGTTGCCAGCTCTCTGGTCCCCAGCGGCGCAGTCCCGTGGGCTGTGGAGCTGGGCAGCAAAGGCTGGCACAGCTGGAGCCAGGAGGGACCAGTGAGTACCAGTGGTGCAAAGTGGGGTTTCAAACCCTGGCAGCTGCTCTGCCCAGGGGGCTCCTGCGGGCAGAGCAGGGTGGCAGCCCTGCTAGCATAGCCAAGAGCCAAAATCTGCCTCTGCTAATTAACTTGGCTGAGCAATTAGCAGGAGGTAGGCCCTCCTGCCGTGTGGAGGAGGGAGGAAGCGGGGGCATGGCATGCGGGTCGCTGAGGCTGCCTGCTTTCTATGCAAAGAGCCGCTGCGGTTGTGAACGCGGCTGCCCATCGCTCATTAGAGCTGCCTTCCAACCAGGAAGGAGGAAGCGATTTTTCTATGACAGGCAGGTGGGCCACATGAT